AAATTTCAAAACACGGCACCATGGATACATTCCTCAGAAGGATAACTTACCAAAACTGCCTAAAGAAAAAACCTGAATGCTTCTACAACCATTAAAGAAAGTAATTCAGTAGTTTAAAATCTTCCTACAAAGAAAATACTAGATCGAGAAAGTTCTAAAAGCGAGGTTTGTTTTTTAATTCTGACATTAAATTTTTCAGAGAAGAGGAAAAGTTCTCCAACTAATTTTATAAAGCTAGTATAGGCATACTCCTCAGAACATTTCCCTGATTAATGTTTTCCCAATAAATTAACTCTTGTATTTAATACTCCAACATCATATAACATATATATCATTCAAAACAACATTTCAACAGCGTATATAGGAAGCAATATATTTAGGACCCAAAACTCAATACATTTTTACCAGTAACAACAACAAAAACAACAACAACAACAACAACAACAAAGGTGTGGGAAATGCCCTAAGTTACATTACAAACACAACTGGCAATATGTTCTCAGCATCATGTGTCAGGAAATCAAAAAACACACTGAATATCAATGAAGGGGATATTCACATAGATGCCCGTAGTGATAAAAGAGGCACTGAAGTATCATCCTCAGTATGAATCATTCTCTGTCACATTTCCATAGTGCCTTTCATATTTCATATTACCCTTTTTTCCCCTAGTTTTGTATTATAAGAACCAAAAAAGCTGAGGAAATGTTAAAGATTAATGAAAAAGAAGCAAACCAAGCAGAAAAGCAGTAACAATGAAAGAGAATATGTTACTACTGACAAAGCAACTATTTGTTAACAACTATATTGTTTGGTGATCAGGAAGCAAAGTTATAGACATTTACAGCCTAATGTTATAGTTTGTTATTTAATTGAGGTTTGTTTACTATATTTTAGTTACATTTTAGGAAATTGGTTTGGGTTAAAAAGTAACTCATTATAACTTTACCATTTAAAACAGAGGGCAATAGGCTCTCAATTAATATTTTTGCATAGAACATCTGATTTTCAGAAACAAATTACTAATATTAAGTAGATATCTGTATAATTCTAATATCAAAACTATCAAAGACAGTATGAGAAAGATAATCACAGTCCCCTCTTGTCTGTAAACATAAATTCTAAACAGAATATTTTTTGAAATAACAAGTTTGGTTTCTTCCAGAAATGTAAGATTGGTTCAACATTAGAAAATGTATTAATGCAATTCACCTCATAAACACATTACAGGAAAAAACCCCTATGTTCATCTCGATAGAGGCAGGAAAAAAACATTTAATAAAATTCAACATTCACTCATGATTAAAAAAAAAAACTACTAGCAAACTAAAAATAGGGCACTTCCCTAACCCAATAAACAACAAGAAATGCATTAAAATGTCATACACGTCATACATACATGCTGAAACTTTAAGAGCATTCCTTTAAAGCCGTGAACAAGACAAGGATGTCTATTATCACTCTATTCAACATTGCCCTAGATGTCTTAGTCTCAGCATTCACACACACACATGTGTGTGCATGATCACACAGTATAAGTAGAAAGAAAGCTTCCACAGATGATATGATTGTTTAAAGGGAAAATCCAAAGAAAATCTACAAATGCTTCTAAATTATAAAAAGTATTCAAATTATTTAATATCTATTGCATATTAAATCAGATCCCTAACTCCCAACATAAACAAAATGTCAACCCCATATGGATTAAGCACTTTAAAATGAAATGTGCACCGCTTATATGCAAAATCTTACTTATGCTCCTGATGAGAAAACTGGAATGGCACAAGGAGTGGGGTAAGAAAAACAGCCCACTCTCCACCCCTTACAGGGTGCATTAGTTTTCTCTTGCTGCCATAACAAATTAACACAAATTTAGCAGCTTAAAACAACAAAAATTTATTATCACAGCTCTGTAGGTTGGAATTCTGTCACGAGTCTCACTGGGCTAAAATCAAGGCATCAGTAGGGCTGTGTTCTTTTCTGGAGACTCCAGGGGAGAATCTGCTTCCACGTACATTCAGGTGGTTGGCAGAATTCAGTTCCATGCAGCTGCAGAAATGAAGTTTCTGTTTCCTTGCTGGCTGTCAACTGAGGGCCATTCCCAGCTTCTAGAGGCTGTCTGTATTCTTTGGCTTCAAGGATCTTCCCCCTCCATCTTCACAGCTAACAATGGGAGGTTGAGTCCCGTTCCTGCCTTCTCTTCTGACACATCTCTGACTCCCCAGTTTTCCTCTTCGTTTTTTATCTCCTCATCTCATGGTCCCTCACGTTAATCATATCTGCAAAGCCCCTTTTTTACTATGCAATGGAACACATTCACAGATTCTGGGGATTAGGGTGTGGACACCTTTGAGGGACCTATTAGTCTGCCTACCATACAGAACAAGGACACTGGGTCTGTTCCACGCTTGCGCTAACACTATATGTCGTTTGTACATCTTTCCGTAATGCCTCTGCTCCAACGGGGTAGAAAATATCCCCCTTTTCTCACGTCCTTTCTGCTTGTGTTGGCTGAATTACTGAATTTTCCTTCCCAGGCTACGTGAAGTCAAAGCAGACAGGAAGATGAAGAATTTAGAATTAATTTCCTAACACCAACATTATCCAATAATTGAAACAAATGCTTCCCCTCTATCTGTTCTTGAACCATCCAGAGTTTAGGGACGAGTTACAAGGGGCAGATAGGAAAGAATGGGGTGGGAACAAAATGTCAAGCCATTAAAAGAAAAATGGCAGCATAGTTCCCCCTTCCTTAAGAACTCAACCCAGGAAGTTTCCATACCTGGGGTGGCAGTCAACAAGGAGAGTCTAGCTCGTGAGAGTCATTAATTGGGTGTCACTATGTACAATACAGTGTGAGATAATTCAACAAACCTTCCTTAATTCTTTAAACTAACCTATGTGGTACATAGGTAAAGGTATTATCATGTAAAATAGGAACCCTGGGCTTACAGAGGTGGTCATATACCCAAAAGCACAAGCGTCAAAGAGCTGGATCGAAACCTAGGTCTGCTGGCTGCTCAAGCCCAAGGGAATTTCCTCTCCCTGACTTTCCCTAGCAAGAAGGCAAGACTGAAGTTTGTTATAATCCTCAAACGGTACCCTTCAGTGTATTCAAATGACACTCTTTGAGGTGTCATTCCCCTTCCCCAACCTTTCTCTCCCCAGATGTTACAGAGAATTCCTGATGAAGGACTTAGAGTTATTTACCTCCTTATTATCATACACATTTACTTCTGTATGGTCACTGTCCCTACTGTCCCAACAGTGATGTTATCATTCAGGCCAGTCCTTGTGTGATGATCACTGGGCTATGGGCTTGAATTTTCTTTTTCTTTTCTTCTTCCTTCCTTCCTTTCCTTTCTTTCTTTCCTCTTTCTCTCTCTCTTTTTTTCCTTTCTTTCCTCCCTCCCTCTCTGTCTCTTTCCTCCCTCCCTCTTTCTTTTTCTTTCCCTTCCTTCCTTCCTTCCTCCCTCCCTCCCTTTCTTCCCCTCCCTCCCTCTCTTTCTTTCTGCAATAAGCTTCAAAGAAACGAAGAAAGGTGCTGGGATGTGGTCTCTCTGGGTGAGTCTCTATAGGACTCACAGGTGCAAGGAGACCCAGGTGCTAACACACAGTCCAAATCACCGCAGTCTTTATCCCTTCAAGGAGTTATGGTTATCAGCAAGAAAGTAATTAACTACCTCTGCTTTCTTTCGGTGGTAATAATCAATTCTAAACTTCCAGCATAAAATCCCAACTCCTTACCACAGGTACAAAGCCCTACATGATTCGCTCCTGCCGGTCTCTTCCGCTGTCTCGGACGCCGCCTTGCACTCCACACGCGGCTCCAGTCACGCTGGCCAAGGTCTAGCTTCTGAGCACCTGAAAGGTGACTAGTCTGAACTAAAATGTACTGGAAGCATAAAATACACACTTAGGGCTTCCCTGGTGGCGCAGTGGTTGAGAATCTGCCTGCCAATGCAGGGGACACGGGTTCGAGCCCTGGTCTGGCAAGATCCCACATGCCGCGAATCAACTAGGCCCGTGAGCCACAACTACTGAGCCTGCGCGTCTGGAGCCTGTGCTCCGCAACAAGAGAGGCCGCGACAGTGAGAGGCCCGCGCACCGCGATGAAGAGTGGCCCCCCGCTCGCCGCAACTAGAGAAAAGCCCTCGCACAGTAACGAAGACCCAACACAGCCATAAATAAATAAATACATCTTAAAAAAATAAAATACACACTGGATTTTCAAAACCTAGTAGGCATATAAGAATGTAAGGTATATCACTAATAATTTTATAGTGACCACATGTTGAAATGGTTATACTTAGAACATGTTGAGTTCCTCTTAATTTAACTTGTTCCTTTTTAATGTGGCATTTCTAAAATTTTAAAATGACATTCGTGGCTCACACGAGATTCCTACTGGATAGAGCACGGCTCTGTCACATTTTCCCCTCCTTTGTTTCCTTGGCCCTTACACTATCTGGACTTAACAGTGTCCACGTTACCTGTTTAGTGTCTTTCTCACCCAACTAGAACGTAAGACAGGAACTCTGCCTCATTCACAGCGGATTCTCAGGCATTTAGAACAGCGTGAAGCACAGTAAGTACTCAATAAATATTTCTGGAATTAATGACCTTACTCTTCCTCAGCTGGAGACGGTGAGCTCTGTCTGTCCTCTCCCAGAACACGAGGTCTCAAGTCTTTTGGGCTACACCCGCAGCTCAGCGCTGACCGTGTGCTCTTGACACCGGGTGGAGGGGTGGTTGGGTACCCACACTGGAAAAACGCGCCTCCCGCGAGGAAAAAGCTTCCCGCCCGACGCCCCCGGCGCTCGGCGAACTCGCGCTCCTCAGAACTCTTTTCCCCGGTCAGCCCCGCCCCTCGGCCCATCAATGGGCACTTCGCCCTCCGGCCGCACGGCGGCGTCTCGCCGGGACGCGGCGGCCGATGGTACAGTCCGTCCTCCCCGCGCGCCTCGAGCAGTGGGTCCTTCCAGTCATAGAAAAGCATTGTGGGAAGGCCGCGCGTTCTTTCTAACCTCACCTCTCTTTCAGAGAGGTGTACGGCGCTGTACGGCGGCGGAGGTACGGACGGTCCCGGGCCTGTGGCCGCTTGGCCTCCGACGGCTGGGGCGCCGCGGCCGGGCCGGGTCCGAGGCTCCCGGTTCCTGAACGCGTGTAGGACAGCGGCCTGGTCTGGCCTCCGCCACGTTGTCGGTGAGACCTCAGAAAGCCCAGAGCGGCCCTGGGTCTGTGTTCCTATGCCGGGAGATGCGGCGAGGGGGGTGAGGGCTTTGGGGTCGATTGGTCATCGACTGTATGTCAGGGAATTTTTAATAGATGCGGGGGTTTCTTGCGTGTGACAGGGAAAGGCCTCACCGTATAACGGCACGTTTGCCTACCTTGTCACGGTGGAAAATCAGGTCATCGCAGAACTGCCATTTCAGATTTAGATCTTGATAACTGTGTCGTGGTGCAGAACTTGGCGGAAATCGAATGACCATCACTAGCTCTGCAGGCGAGTTTTCATGTTCCTGCAGAACAGATCAGTTTCCTGGAAATTTTAAGGTTTCAGCCATTTGAAAGACGTTAATTTGGTGTTCGTTACCTAGTCGGATGTTGAGTCGTAAAGGAAACTGTAGAGCTGGGCTTAGTTTTTCTCCCAGCTCATCAACACAACAGTTCATCTCAGCCAGCTGTTTTGGGGACCGCAGCTTTGTGCCGCACAGCATTCCTTACGCGGTTTTCTTGTCGCCTTTGTGTTGCCCGTTCACTTTTGGAAACTAGTGGATGAGGTGTCAAAAAAGGCGTAAACCAAACACTTGTGCAGCCTTTTCCTCCCCTAGTATTTGACATCTTTGGTGTAGGAGCTGCACAAGTAACAGTTATACTCCTATATTATGTACACATGTGGTTTTGATTCTGCCAACGTTAAGTGTATGTTTTTCTTAATAGGTTTTAATTTTTGTTCAGGTTTAAGATGGACGCTTGAAGCATAGACTGCTGCTAGCTGACTACTTACTATCTGGGAGCACAAAGATGACCTAAGGTAGGGTGATAGTTGTGAATTAGAAGTTGTCATACAGCAGTTATTTGTGATGTGAATTTTATCTTTCTGGATTGGGGGGCCTTCTCTAGTGGGTATTAGTTTAATTAGTTATTAAGGGTTCACTAGTGTTAGTACTGCCGCATCTGTAAACAAATAGTTAACTGCAAATGGGATAGCTTCTTCCCAGTTTGTCATGAAATCTTTACATGATTTTATGTGAATTGTAAAAAACCACTTGCCAGATCTCAGGCATGTTTTATGTTGACATTTAAAGTCCAGAAGTGCATAACTTAATGCAGCGAAGAAGCATGTACTGAAAGTTTTTAAGATGTGGTGCGTGTAAATGTCAAATTGAGTGCCTTATTTTTCTTTTTAGGATGTCCTCGGTAAGGAACTTGACAACTTGATCTTCGGGAGTTGCTTAGAGTATTTAAAATTTCCAGGATTGCTAAAAAAAATACTGCTTTTGGATAGTCCATAAATGTACATCTAAAACAGTGGGGCTATAAATAAAATAATTCAATGGGCTTCTTGGAGGTTTGTGTGCTAAGTGATTAACCGCCAGAAAATAGCATTTTTTTTACTGAAGGATCATAGGGAGGGTACCTCCCTCTCCCAGCAACTTCAAAATTATGTTAAATCTCAGCTGTTAAGATTAACATTCTGTGATAGCGATCACTGATAACCTCATGAAATATAGGCTTATGCTAGGCTCCAAGGAGAAACACGTGCTTTCTTGTAGTGTCTCTTGCGTGATGAAGTGAACTAGACTATTTGGTTTCTAGGTCACAGGTGTGCTGTATGTTACTGCATTGTTTTTTTTTTTTAAGCTAAAAGCAAATCTGCCTTCACTTTGCAGGAAAGAACAAATAGTGTATTCGGGCATTCAAAATATTTATTGAAAGCACTGAACTAGGAGCTGGGAACACAATGGTGCACAAACACAGTTCCTCCCTTTGGAAGCTTACCTTTGTTTAAATGGAGGAAATGTCATCACAATTGAAAACTTCGTGAGACAAATTCCATGTATGATAGGATTTGACCGAGTCAGGGAAACCTGAGAAGGCAGTTAGGACTAAGCGTAGGTAAGTATTTATGCAAGGCAAAGCTGACCCCGTGCCATGTACAGAGGCCTTGAGCAAAAAAAATGGGTATGACCATAAGTCCAGATTTCTGACTATTGTAGTTTCTTTCCCTCTAAGTGTCATCATTTAGGTAAGAGTTGAGTGCTTAATGAGGCTTGAAGGTGGCCATTATGGGAGCTCTGGGTGTTACAAAATGAGGCTGAACAGGTAAGAGGCCAGACCACTTAAGGCTCTGTATAAAGCAAGGGGAAATCCATGATGGAAATGCACATTTGCAAGAAAAGGGGTGCTGATGGGCCAACTGCAGGCTACTACCACTGTCTATGCGAGAGATGACCACCTTGGACCAGGGTGGTGGTAAAGTTAAGGAAGAGAGATAGTTTATAGCAGATAGGAGTTAGTAATAAAGGATGTATCCATAATGACTGCTAGGTGTGTAGTCTTGTACATTTGCAAATCCAGCTGGGGAGCAGCATTTTCAACTAGCTCTTTGAATTGCCTTAGAAATCTAAGTGACCCCTTGGTACTACACTGGTTTTTAGTCTAAGCTATAGAAATAAACTATGGGAATAAATGAGATCCACTGGGGTAGTGGAAGAGGGCCTAGATTTGAGATACTCAGCTGGAGAGGTAGAACAGCGTGAGCTGCAAAGGATAGTCAGAATGGTAGAAACAATGGGAAATGCATGAAAGAAACAAAATATTGTAAGGTAGCCTAAAAGTTAACTTGGATTTGGTGACATGAAGGTGATTTTTGAGGTCCACTTTAGTGGACAGATAATTTTTTTTTTTTTTTTTTGCGGTACGCGGGCCTCTCACTGTTGTGGCCTCTCCCGTTGCGGAGCACAGGCTCCGGACGCGCAGGCTCAGCAGCAACGGCTCACGGGCCCAGCCGCTCCGTGGCATGTGGGATCTTCCCGGACTGGGGCACGAACCCGTGTCCCCTGCATCGGCAGGTGGACTGTCAACCACTGCGCCACCAGGGAAGCCCCTATCCTTTTAAGAAACTTGGAATGGGAGAAAAAAGTGGTAGCTGGAGAAGAATTTGTTGGTGTGAAATTTGGTTGGCTTTTTTTAGATGGTAGTCTAGCTGAGAGGAAGCGGCTGAATATATTAGTACTGGAGAGAGCAGGGATGAGAAGGCTGAAGGAGATGGGCTTGAGAGGACAAGTAGAGGGAACAGGAGAAAGGGAAGGACTAGGGTTGATGGCAGCCACGGCAAGGCTTGTCTGTTGGGTAAGGAGAAGATGAAAGGTGTCCTGCATGAGTATTTGTTTTTCCTGTAGACTGCAATCACCTGCAGAGAGGAAACGTCTGAAATAGTATTTGGGGAGAATTAGCCAGGCAGACTGGAAGGGACCATTTCAGGTAGAGGGTCATGAATTTATAAGCTGAGGTCAACTGAAATCCACACATAGCCTCTTTTTTTCTGAAAGCACAAGACAAGGACACTAGAAATTAAAAGCAGCACTTAACAAACTTTTTTTTAACATTTGCAAATAATCGGTGGAACTTAATGCCACAAAATACAGTATTACAAAGAACATGTGAATAAAAACATCTGCAGTGTGAAAGCGATGCTTCAGTCATGCATTTGTGCATAGGCAGATCCACCCAGAGTTGGGAAGAACCTTTCCATCCCACTTGGTGTACTACTGCACAGCTAGCCGGCTGCAGTCCAGGATTCCAGAACTTTGAACCGAAGCATCTGGTGTTGGTTGTGGCAGACACAAGATAACTTGGGAGTTTCCAGGAAGGAAAACATGGCATCAAGTGAATAAGTTTTAAAATACTGTCTTTCCAGTTACCAAATAAAAAGGCCCTTAGGCACAAATATACTGTAGTTAAACCTTTAAAAGATGCAACAGACTCCATTATTTTCTTCTGAAGAAACACTTCTGCAGGTCCAAGATACTTGAATAATTATAATTCACAGTTTCCAAGTAAAGGTGGCACACACACCCTTCCCACCCCCCCATCCCTAGCCCTTCACTGGGATTAAGTCTCTATCTTGAGGCGTGAAGCTTGGGTAGTTTTTATTGTTTTTGCTGTGTGTTTTCCAGCCAGATTGCTTGTAGACGTCTGAGATTTTTCTTCAATCAGGCTATCTTTAGACCCGTTTCTTCTCTAGAAAAGAATGCATTTGAAAAATACAGAAAGTAAGATTCAGAGAAGAAACTACAGCCAAATCAATTTTATTAACACAAATACTAAGATTTAAGACATCACGTTATATTTAGGAAAGGTATGTAATGTCAAAAGCTGTTCAAATATTCCCTTTATTTAAATAGTTATGATAAACAACATGAAGATTGTGTTTAAATCTTAAAAAAGTTACTCTGACAGTTACATGCATAACAAATCTTACTCATGAAAATCAGGCATAAATCTCAACCCATTCCCCCAATGAAGTGTTATTTCCATGGTAGTTGCTGCTAACCCAGGCTCTCAGGCCTCCTGCTTTTCCAAGGAGGGGCAGAGAGATGAAGAGCATGGGGAGCTGGGGGTAATTTTTACTCTTCCCTGATTGTATTTTCAGTAGTCACTGAAAGAAACCTGTACAACACAATGCCCTGGGGACCCGCATCACTTGGGGCTAGAGCTCCCTGTTAGCTGCGGTGGCCCCATCCTGGAGAAATGGGAGTGGAGCTGCCAGAGCCTGAGCACCACACCCAGGGCTTCTGGAAGTGGGTCATGTCCTCCCACAGCCACAGGTGGAGGCCCTGAGGATGACACCAAAGTGCCTCCACAGCTCCCTCTTCTGCTTAACAGACCTGCTCTTAGCTCCTTTTAGAGATGGCCCAAGCTGTCAGTAGATCTGGCTAACAAGCGTATTTCCTTCCACACAAGTACCTGCCCATACATAATGAGCTACACTCCAGAATTCATTATTTTGAGATTCATTTGGGCTAAAAATAAACTACCCTCTAAGCGGCTGTCTTTCATCTGTTCCTACACTGGCTTGATTTGATTTACTCATATTCAGAGAGGCACTAATGGAGCAACAATTCTGCTAAGCATGAGGAGTACAAATCAAGCTAATTTTGGATCGTCCGACGTTATCTGTTTGGGACAGGTTTCTAGGTAACGGGAGAGGGAGGAGGACACCAGAGCATGAGTAAGTCAGGGCAGGGGAATAGAGAGCTAATATATCAGAAGAATCACTATCTTTTAAGTTTGTTGAGGGTTGAACCTATCTCTTCTGCCTGCACACCGTAAAGGAATAAGGAAAATGAATCAAAGTCCCTAATCCACCCCACTTTTACCAGGCTTCTGCATGAAAAAGTAAGGTGAGGTATAGGCAGGCCAGGCCACTAGCAGAAATCTGGCATCATTCTGGAACTTAGGAAATGCAGCTTTCCCACTTCCCCATATCATTTGCATCCTTTCTCCACATGGCAACCAGATCAGTTGTTTCCTTTTGGCACTCAGAATAAAATGCAAACAAACTCTTTCCCATGGCATCTAAGGCCCTGCATTATCCACCCTCCTTCCCCTTTACTCTGCTCAGACCTCAAACACCCCGGCCCTTTCCAGCCTCAGCTCTTTCTTCTGCTTCCATCAGCCTTTCACAAATACTCACATGGCTGGCTCCTTCTCTACCTGTGAGTTTCAGCTTTACAGGTCACTTTCTGAGACCGTCTTTGCCCTATCTTTCTAAAGTGAGGTCATATGTTCGTTTTCTAACTCAGACCTTTGTTTCTTCATAATACTTACCTAGTTGTTGTTTTTTAAATTGTTTTACCTGTTTACTTTTACGTATTATGTGTCAAGGCCAGGAGTCAGCAAACATTTTCTGCAAAGGGCCAGATTATAGACTACCTTCTGTCTCTATTGCATATTCTTTTTCCCTCCCCACAAGCAACCCTTTAAAAACATAAAAACAATTATTAGCTCCTGGACTGTATAGAAACAGGCTGCAGACTAACTTTAGCCCTTGGGCTGTAGTTTGCTGACTGTCCCAGTGAGTGCCTTGTCACTCCTTAGATGTGCTCATTAGATAGCTGTTGAATTCAAAATCAAAGGTTCCCAGAGACAAGCTTAGAATCAATGCCACTGATTAAAAGGTGCATGTGAGTTGTTCTTGTATGCAGCACAGTGACGGCTATTCTTTCAACATTTCATGTGTATAATTTTAAGTTTTTTGAGATTCCTAAATGATGGTGATTAGAGAGTCTAGAGTAGTTGGAAAAGCAAAAATACATGAAATTCCCATTTGTATTGAAGCCAACTTAAATTTAAGACCCCAAAAAAAGCTTTGAAAAGTAACAGTGCTTATTAATCTTCCCAGCAACTTTAAGAGGTAGGTTATTATCTACATTGCAAAGAAATTTAATCTTAGAAGTTAAACAATGTTCAGAGTCACACAAGTGGTGTGTGGAGACAAGGAGACACCAATGCAGGTCCTGTCTGAATGTGAAGCCTCAACTAATCATGAATGTAA